TGAGTCCTTGCAAGGAAGGCTGGTGGGAGGGAAAATGGGAAAAAATGTTATTTTAGTCAGCAAGACCTCTGATCCCCCTTTGGCGTTGAAGTCAGATTGTATACATGCTGAGTCCAGCACCTCCACAAGCCCCCCCCCCCGCGCGCGTGTGTGTGTGTGTGTGTAATCACGTGTGTGTGTGTAATCACGTGTGTGTGTGTAATCACGTGTGTGTGTGTAATCACGTGTGTGTGTGTAATCACGAGCCCTGGTCATTTTGTCACGAAGGTCGCGTTTCGGCTATGAAGCCGTCAGTCCGTAGCATTAGCTGTCGATTTAACAACAAAAATTATCCTTGTGCGACCGGATAAATCCTAATCTTGCTTGGCATGGGGAACCGGATTTCCCGGTATTGATTTGAGGCGTTATCAGATGGAGCTGGGGCAGCGTGACTGACAGAGGGTTGCGAGTTCAAATCGAATCACAGTCAGGGGTTTACTCAGCCCACAAACCTGGTGGGGGTCAATTAAATTAGTTCCACTTTGTGGGACATCCACGGTGGTTAGAGAGAGAGACTCACTCCACCCATACGAATGTGACCTCATTGTAGTTATTCATTGGCCACGTTTACACCGCAAGTGTTTGTCCAATAAATGTATCCGGTTAAACAAATGAAAGTGCAACTAGCTCGGTGAAACGGGATTAATTTGCTTACCTTATACTTTTTGCGTGAATTTACGAGATATGCTGTAGTTGGTTAAATTTTTTAACGCAAATCAACATCGTCCTCATGCGCACGCATTTAATGGAAACCGGCTTCTGCGCATAAAAATCGCCCACACAATCAATGTATCCATGATCAGATATCTTTATGTGACTCAAGAAAGCAGATGGGAATCCTAACGTTACGTATTATGAGCCTGGTACCTACAGTGTTGAGGTCAGAGGCGGCGGTACATGGTTAGCACAGCGACCCAAGTTTGATTCACGCCTACGGCTAATGATATCAGAACCAGTTCTGATCAACAAACCCCCGTGACCAACATGGCATGGAGAGGCATTCGCCCTATTGGTTGATTGAAAACGTCTGGAATGTACATTATTATATGTTTTTTTTTAAAATACAGCACCGGGAACCAGTAGATGTTTAGTCTGCGAGAGGAATGCAAACACAATTTCCCTGACCCTTTTAGGGTTTTTACTGAAGCCTAGGAATCTCAACATCGTCATTTGAACCTTATTATGGCAGTACCCTGGGGTACCATAGTACCCCGGCCCTCGCACAATGTCCGTGATGCAGTCATGTTTAGTCTGCTGATGGTCGGCGATGCGGCAATCGACTCATCTCGACGAGCTGTACACGATGCACTATTCAAAGTTGAATTTTTCGATGACAGATTTTTGTCTGCTAATGTTTGGCGTTTTGACATCACGAAGTAGCACCGATGTCGGATTGATTGGTACCCCAGTCGCGGAGTTAATTACACCCCTGGAAAAAATAGTGTCCCAGAAATAAAATATTTAATTGCCTCGGCCATTCTGTATTATTTGGTACCCCGGGGTACCGCCATAAAGATAATTTGCCCGTGTGTTGTTCTCAAACTGTAAAACAAAAATGGGCTCAATTTGTTTTGTGGCTATAGGCCAGTGGTTCTTAACCTTTACTGCAAGCTTGCACCCTTTTGGTTCTCAACCGTTAAACATCTGATAATGTTAATAAATACACACAGGGGTTGATACAACAAAGTAGTTGTACGTACGTGCCCGTGCTTAATTTGTGTTTTCGATTGTTTACCTTCTAAAAAAAAAATCTGGCCATTTCTCGCACCCCCGAAAGGGCATCTCACACCCCCAGGGGGTGCGTGCACCGCAGGTTAATAAGAAGAAGAAGAACCACTGCTGTAGGCCAGCAGGCGACTGCTGTAGGCCAGCAGGCGAATGCTGTTGGCTGGGTGTCTGCCATCGCCTTTTATACCTTTTGGTGGCATCACTGAGAAACACCCGTGCAGGCAGGGCTGAGAAGCGAGGGGCTCGTGTGGGAAAAGTGTCCTCGATATTCAGAGTAAACGTTGAGGTGTCAACGGCACCTCAATTTGATTGGTATGCAAACTTGAAAGGAAGCCCAATAGATTGATCTATAGGACCTATAAATGTTGGAATACTTTCCTTGTCGTTGTACTGTTTAACATATAGGTTTTCGTGACCAATAGTATCTAAAATAGAGGGGTTTTTGGGGGGTTAGATGGCAATAATATAAATGTTTAATAATAAAAAAACGGCAGGCTGTACAAGCACGATGTGGATGCATAATGTATGTTGATCACCCTCTGAATAACCCAACCGGTAATGGATTGTGATTTATATATTTATATGCATACATTAATGCCCCCCGCCCCCTCTGGCCTTTACACCTGATTGGCTCACAAATGACGACGTCACATTTATTCCTCTATTTAAGACCGAAACAGGAGGATTTCTCCACAAATCTGGCTGTCGCCTCATGATGCTAGTTGTGCTTACGGGCGAAACCTCATACTTGAATTATAAATGGTGTGGGTTTACTCTCCAACACACCGGTGTACTGTACTAGTAACGAATTGGCATGTTTTGTGTACGTCACAAACCTTACGAATTGGCTGTGTCAGATGGTGGCAGGTTCAACGACACATTTATATTTAGGCAATCTAACCCAAAAAAAACTATTTTTGATGTTTTAGTACTGTTTTTCATTTTTCCATTCTCTGGACATACACTGATGAGAGATAAGGCCTTAAAGAAGGCTCTCTCAGGTGTGTATGCCAGTCAGTTTCTAAGACAATGCATATATTATCGGAGCATGTTTTGTTTGCATTTTTTGCCACACGTACGTGTGGTTAATGCAGACTTGATGCCTTGCAAAATGTATCTATTTGGTGTTTGAACATCTTAACACCTACTGTGTTATTGCTAGAGAGGGTATCAAGTATCTTCTTATTTTTCATCGCCCATTCGATTTTCTCTCGAGACGATGGCCGTCTTTTTTCTTTGGTCCACTCGTCAGGGAATTGTGAGTGGCATGCCCGCCTGCGTTGCAGGTGACGTGCGCCATCGCGCAACCAATTTGCTGCACAGAGAATAACTGGCCACACTTCAACGATTGAAGGTTTTTCTTCGTTCATCATTTTTTTTATTGAGTATTGAGACGACTCAGCAAACAATTTAAATATTGAAAATTACAAGTATCATAAACATAGCATCTAAAACCAGATGTGTTTAGAAATAAGAAATTCATGAGCTACATTCATCGTATACTTTATACATACACATTGTTGAGGTTATTTGTCACTTTTATAAGATGATGCGTGAATATTCCGAAACAAATGCATGTTAACAAAATGTAACGTGTTCAAAATCTACTCCAGATTGTTATAAATGTATTTACCCACATATTGTAATTGTCCTTTTTAAATGTAAACATATGTTACTGAGCTTGCTTTAATCGTATTGTTTTTAGTTTACAGCAACATACTTCGAACTCTTTTAAACCTTTAAAAGTCACGTCAAATATCAACAACTGACTTGTTCACTGTACCGATTGGCCTGAGATGATCACAAACGCAATGTCAACAAAACCACAAACTTGGGCAGTTTTCTTCTCCTCCTGTCATTTTAACAATCGGTATCTTCAAAGAGGAAACACTCTCAGGCGGTGGCCATTTTGAGGGTGGCCCTCCGGGCCATATCGACAACGTCCGGAAGGCACTCGCGAGTCACGTCAAGGGCGGCTCGTAATTGTGGGTGGGCCACCTTGAGAGAGGTTACGCGCGCCATCGGGTAATTTTGAGGCGTGTGATATCATTCGCCGTGGCCTTGGAGGTGACATCGCCTCTGATTTCTGTTTCTGTTTATTGCGGTAGGGGAAAAAAGTATCAGTTTTTGTTGGTGTAGCGTGATAGGATTGAATTGAGGGCCTCGAAGTGCAGCAGTTTTTAGAGGTCGGCCATATTTGCAAAAAAGAGTAAGTATTAAAAGTCATATGATACTGCCTCTGTCGTTTCCGGAATATTCCGCATTGGCATATTGTAAGCCAAGGGAAATAGAGCAACAGAAATAAAGTACAGCGACGGCATCGCTCGCAGTAAATATAAACAGATGGAAAATCGTGTTGCATGTTGAGAGGCAAAAGCTTTTGAGATCTCTCATTGCTGTGGTTTTTTGAGTAACCCACATCATCAACGACCATTCTCTCAACACTATCAGTTCTTAAATAAGACGCTTAAACAACGAAGTTGCATACGGTTGGTGAGATTATTCATTTCAATGGCACGTACAAGAAACTCGCCCTTCTGGTCCCTGCGGATAGCGAAGTGTGCGATTCCTCACGCTAGGAAACAACCCCCGCTCCCCCTGATTCTGTGCAGGGATTGAGAGAGTCAAAATTCAGCACCACAGTGTTCATGTTACACTTTGCATTGTCAACTTGAAATGAAGCGCTAAATGCGTGCAAAAATAATTGTGATTCGAATGTAAAAATTGCCCGCTGACATTTCACAAGACCAATTGTTATTGGGATGACTGTTCACCCAGAATGTGCCCTATCTCATCCAGATCTCGAAGAAAGTGAGCACAGCTGAGCCTGGATAGTGCCTGGATAGTTGACCACAATGCATAGCAGGTGTTGTGAGCACCAGTTGGGCAGTGCAGCAAAATGCATTGTTACATGTTACTTCTATGTCCCCACGTCCGTGCTCTGCCTTCACAAACCCACAATGAACATCGCGGCGAAGTATGGCCAAACAACTCCCATCACTTGCATGACATGGGGAGGCCTTCATTCAGCAGTGGATTTACAAAGGGCTACACTACCGGTTTCTCAATGTCCATTGAAATTAGGCTCACAATTCAACCGACGTGTTCAAACTCTTATTTTAATGTCATGTTCAAACTCTTCATTTGCTGTCAGTGACAAGTAAAAAAAACCTTTGTTGTTAATTTTCATTGAGCCCGTCGTGCAATGTCCTTCCCTTTGGCTGGCCCTGCAGGTCACACTGCTGGAGGAACCAGGAGAGAAGGAGGACTCCGAGGTGCCTCCCGGGCAGGGCCACATGGCCCCGAGCACCCCACACTACACGGACGAGGTGGAGATGAATCAAGTGGCGGGCGTTGAGAGCGGCCCGCCCGGCGTGCCAGTGCCCAGACAACCTCTCACCCCCAGCGCCCACGAGACCTCTGCCAAGCCAGCCGAAGGTATGGCGGAACTGGGCAGAGGCGTCAGGAGAATTTCCCCCGAGAAGCATCTCCTGCGCGCTCCGGCGAGCGTCGGCCGATGCTGCTCGTCATCGCATCTGGTGATGCTCAATTAGTGCCGGCAGTTCTACAGGTGTGGGAATGAATCTTGACTTAGAGCTTTCGTGACTGCAGGAATTCATACTCTTTTTGGGTCTTTCGGTAAAGTCACGTAGATAGAAAAAATAATAAAATAATTACATATCATGACGTCGTTTCGATCGCAACACGAGCAATCATCCTCAGGTGAAAAAATACAGCAGGCGGACTGCTGAGGCAGGAAGAAATATAGCGAGAGAGCTACTGCAGCCAAAGGTTGTATAGGTTTGAGATGGGTACAACCCAAGGGTAAGTAGGCGGGGCTGGAGATGGAATTTGCAAGTAAATGTAAGATCGCAGAGCTAGCTATACCTCGGCCATTGTATTGCTCGAGATTAGAGATTAGCGTGTCAATGTGAGACGGCTGCCGCAGCAGCGGCTGTGTTAATGAGAGACATTCAGCCTATTAAACAACGAGCGCCACCGCTGCATCGAGGAAAAGGGAGCAGCAGCTTTGTTAGTGAGACATTTAGCCTGTTAATGTAAAGGCATTTAACAAGGTAATGTAACTCAGAGAGTCGGAAATAACTGCTAACATAGGCAGGTAGGATGGAAGCATCACAGCTAGTTATGATTTTACCTGGTGAATAACGTCTTTCCAATGATTGCTCAGTTTGTACCCATCTTCTCAGTTGAAATTGTGTCTGTATATATGGATGGCTTCATGAACGAATCTTTGTTGATAGCCAGTGGGTTTGCAAAGTATCCTCCGTCTTAGAGAAATCAATTTCGTGTGAGCCGACCGCATTAAAACAATGATAAGCCACGGCCGAGGTATTGGTCCTAACGTGTTTCAGATCTGCCTTATATTCACGAACACGGTCCGAGACATGTCTCTTAGTTTCCCCAATTTAACTACTACCGCAGACTTAGCTTTATTTGTAGACGCCGGGGTATTGCATGTCAGGGATCACATCCTTCACAGATGGGATCAGATCTCGAATTTTATGTACTGTGTTAAATCGAATCTGGATCTTGTGTTTGCTCATGCTTTTGGAAATCTTTTTTGGTGACCCCTGCTATGTATGGCAAGGTGATGGTTTTGATTGGGTCCTCAGATGGGTCTTTACCAACGATTGGGGTGACTGCTTTACGGATTGTGCAATCCGAATATCCATTCATCTTGAGGGCTTTACGGATTGTGCAATCCAAATATCCATTCATCTTGAGGGCTTGGTGTACGTGCTCCAGTTCACTGGCTGGGTGGTGATGGTCGGAAATGCAACAAGCCCTATGGTGTAGAGTTTTAATGAGGGAATTCTTCTGGGCTGAATGGTGGTGGGAGTCAGGTTTTAGATAGGCATCCGTGTGGGTGGCTTTCCTGTAGACAGAGTGTCCCAATGAGCCATCTGGTCTCTGTTCGATGAAAACATCCAAGAATAGTAACTTGCCATCCTTTTCCACCTCCATGGTGAATTTGATGGCTGGGTATATGGAATTGATGTGGTTGAAGAATTGGTTCAGAGTTGGCAGGCCATGTGGCCAGATGACGAACGTATAATTTACGTACCTCTTCCACAAGGGAGGACGTAGGATGGCTGTCTGGATGGCATCTGTCTCAAATTTTTCCATGAAAACATTGTGTGGGAATCATTAATTGTCACAAATTGTGGTCATGGTTCAGATACGCTCCTGTGACTGTCTGGAACGCTATGCACTTGTAAACGTAAATTGAAAACAATTTTTTTTAAAGAACTGCTTTGTTGTGTTTAGTTTGTCCTTCCTACTGCGCCTCCGATTAGCACGATTGGCTACGTATGGTGCGAAAGAAGTTCAACATACTTACATACATGGTTCGATCTGAGAATGAATATCAATGATTATTTTTAAAAAAACGCATTTTAATTATATCATTTTGTCAATTAATTAATTATCCAAGGAAAGAATTGATACATGATTTGCATATACTGTGCTTAAATTGTAAAGAATAAATAATATTATACATTCACGCTTTGTTGTGCGCGTATCACGAGCGGTATGATTTAATGAGGGGACGTCGAAAGCACTGCAGACCTGACAAATGTGCCTCGTGATTTACCCCAAGTGTTGCAGCTTGGTCCATCGGTTTCGCAAGTACGAAGGGACACATGAACCCATTACCCGCACCCGGAACTCACAGCCTTTCACGTTGTGGGACAGGTGGCTCCTGGATGGGGCCTCTGTAGGGAGTTCTGAACGTTCATGTTCAGACCTCCCCATAGACTTGAGGGCCTCGAGTGATCTTCACTAATTTGTAGAGGGGGAGGCCACTTTTTGCCGATAAGACATCATCAGTGTGAGGATCGCCACACATGTTAAACCATTTGGGTTTGACAGCAGCACGGGATGTTTTCGCATTTGTGTTTTGTCAGGGGCCACACATCAGGGACCGCACTCAAGTAAACTAAACTAAACTAAAAAAATAAACTATTGTTTATTTTACCAGGTAAAGTCCACTTAGCTATATAGCTTTTTTTTCAGAAGTGGCCTGGCCACAAATGATAGCCCAATGAAGCAGCTTAGGTGGAAATGGAGAGCTGCCAAATACTCAAAACGCGTGTTGATTATAAATGTGGAGGGAAAAACTGGAGGACCCGGAGAAAAATTCTCGCGACCACGGGGAGAATACACGAACTCCAAATATATAGGTGTCAGCGTTGGGATCGAACCCTGTATTCTAGGCGAAGTAGTTAACGAGGTCCGTGGGCATTGCGATGAAGAACACTGGGTTAAGGGAAGAGGACTGCGGTAAAATACAAAGTCGTTTCAAAGGAACATGAAATACATTGTTACATTTTTAAACACATGGACATGATATTAGCAAGAGATGATGCCAATTATTTTTTTCACGTAAAAATAAGGAGAAAGGCTTTGAAATTCATATCGAACAACAACAACGGTACATTTGCATTATTGACAAACATAAATGTGAACTATTGGTGTGTGGTGTATGTAATGTTTTAAAGCAACCAGATATAATGGATCACTTTGGGTAATACCTTGCACATGTACAGCACCAAGACCCAGCTACAAATAACCTTCAACATTCTGAATGGGATCACAACGCATTTGTTGTAAAGGTTCCTCTACATACACTTGTACATTTTCACGTAATTTTTGTTACACACATTCACACAAACGAAATAGAGGTTACAGAGATCCGGGCCTTTAACAGACTGTTGGGGCAAGTGCTGTTAGCGAGCACCCATGAACTCCAACACAGCATACGATGGGGTTCGTGGTCAGCCCCACGCCCAGCTGCCATTGTCTCCCCAATGCATGTTTACTACACCAACGCACCAGATACTTATTCGAGGCTGAACCGACCTAGCGGAGGCCGAGGATTGGTTCAGATATTCGTCGCCGGTGTTGGCTGTTCGCAGGCATCGAACTCGTGTCGCCACTGACCACTACACTCCCCAGTTCCCACACTCCCCTCCTTCGTGACACATGCAGAAATGCAAACGTACATGCATAAATGTATATTACATCCATTAGCTCTGTATCGATTCACTTACCTTGCAATTGCATGCACAGTCACAATTCAGGATTGAGATTATATTCCAGAATCATTTTTTTTTAAACATGATGGTGCATTGCAGCACCTTGTGGCTGCAGGGTTCATCCAAGCAAATTGCATGCAACATATACAAGAACAGAACAAACCTGAACATCACACGCATGGTTCAATTCAGTCACCATAAGCGCATGAATCCCTTTCAGTGGATGAATACACGTATTGTTGCACCACCGATAGATAGACGCACACGCGCACACATACCTACGGATACATCGACAAGTACGGAGGTACCTTCATTTATAAAGAGTGGTTGCGATGATCTACCATTGTTATCGGTGTGCAGCCCACAGTATGTCAGCCTTAGACATGTGAAATACTACTAATCGGAAATGCAAACTCTCAAAAGAGGAAATCCTTCCACATGCATTGGCATGAGGTTTGTGGCCAGACCACACATCTACCGAACGCTGTGAGTTATCCATTTAAATACAGCGTGTTTATCCATCGGGATTTTGCAACTCAGAAGCTACTCGGTTAGTTTGAGTTGCCACAAAAAGACCACAGCGGTTTGCTGCTTGGAAAAGTAGGTTATTGCTTATCTTCTTTACACCTCTTTGCCAGTGGCGACAATTCAACATTCCGATGCCAGCCGAGGGGGAAGGAATCTTTTTTTTCACGAGACCAGCTTTTTGGTGACTTCCCAAGAAGTGGAACTTGTTTTGTAAACCCCTCGCAAAAAGATGCGCTCTGGGCGGGCCCTCCGTGTAGACGGTGCGCCACGAATGCCAGAAACGAAATGCAGCCAAGAGCGGAGAAGGCCACGGCGTTGCATTGGGGATGAAGGAAAAGCAGCGAGGGGGGCAGCTGGGCGCCTAGCCAGCCAGACGATAACCCCCCGTGCCTTCACCGAGCCAATGAGCAGACCAGACGCGAGTGCCGAGTGGTGCTTACAGAGTACACAGCGCCACCTGGTCGGGGCAGTTTTAAGTTGTGGCGCGTTCAACAAATTTAACTATTAAAAAAGAAAATTCACCAGGTATGGCCCACTGAGCTATGTAGCTCTTTGTCAAAAGTGACCTGGCCAGAAATGACAGCTCAACGAAGTGGCTTATCAAGTGAAAATGTATAGCAGCCAAATCAACTACACACTTGTTTCTAAATGTGTGTGTGTGGGGGGGGGGGGGGGGGGGGGTAGGAAGACCCGGAGAAAAATCCACGTATCCACGGGGAGAACATGTAAACTCCAAATATAAATGTGTCAGGATCAGGATTTTACGTAGGACCACCTGCATACCAGGAGAGGGATTTAACATCTCGCCACCGTGGCGAGATGTTGACAGTGATGCAGAAGCACACACAACACCAAGCGCCACGGGCGGTCGTCAATAGCAGTGTGGCCTTAAAAGGAAAAATGTAGAATCGGTAACATTTATGCAAATTGGCCTTCATCCATAGCTCATCAAAGAGAGCATCATGCGCTGTGAAGAAAGGCCATTGCTCGGAACGTCGCCGATTTTATAATTTTCCGTTTAAAGCTATGGTGTTGTTACTCTTTGGGTCTTTCGGTAAAGTCACGTAGATAGAAAAATAATTTTGTTAAAATCACGACGTTTCGATCGCAACACAAGCATGGTGTTGTTGACAAATGTGTTGAGTTTTTTTGGTAATGTATCAAATGACCTTGGTCTCATTGCTACACGGACACATATCCTAATGTGTCTATGTATGTTGAACTTCTTTCACACCATACATAGCTAACCGTGATGATCGGAGGTTCGTCTGGCCCATGTAAGAGTGGTGGTGCTGGTGTTGACGCGTCAATTCCCGCCCGTGCGGTTTAGACGCCGTTGTGCGCCGAGCGCATCCGAGATGGGCTGCGGGTGCCGTAACGGTGGGGGCGCGTGTGTTGTGTGCCCTAGGTGAGGATGCTGATCAAGGATCTGGCGTCGGGGAGCTTCCGGACACAGGTGAGGTATAGCAACACCCACACGCGGGGGTGGTGTCATTTGCAGAGCAGTCTGCCATGTTGCTGTGTGCTTATTGGTGGATACGGCATTGACGTAGTCTTAGGGATCTGCCGCGGTGGTGTAGAGGCCGCCCCTCTGGACTTACAAAACCAGAGTCACGGTGGCGAGATGTTAACTACCTCGCCTGGTATATAGGAGGTCGTGGGTTTGATCCAAACCCTGACCCCTGTATGTTTGGAGTTTGCATGTTCTCCCCACATGGATTTTTCTCCGGATCCTCTGGTTTTTCCCTCCACATTTTGAATCAACGTTGAGAAAATTTGTCCGCTATAGATTTCCACGTGATAACCCAATTTGCTGGGCTTTCAATTGTTAGCCAGGTCGCTTCTGAAAAAGAGCAACATAGCTCAGTGGGCCTTACCTGGTAAAGTAAAAAAATAGTTTAGTTTTAGACGTTCTGGGTTCCATCCCATCCCATGGTGTGGCCGTTGAAACGATGGGACAAGTTTCTCAAACTCCCCCTCCCGACCGCCGCTGTCCACCCAGCAGCGTAAAGTGTAAAGAGACCATACGATCGGCTTGTCGAGGTGCGGTGGGGTTCAGCGTGGTGTACGCCCTCCCCTTCCATTACGTCTGGTCAACGAGGAAGAATAGACGAAGTACCCTCTAGAGGTCCCCTCATAGTGGAGGCCCTTTCTGTCGGCAGTGGCGTCGGCGAGCAAACACAGGGCTGCACCTTTTTGCCTTTTGCAGAGTTGACACGGATACACTCGACGCCGTATTTGGCAAGACACTGGTGACTTTGAGCGGTGCGGCGTAGAACAACGTACGAACAACAGTGGACTGGACAGTGGCAGCATTTGAATGAAACCGACGCCGCCGCCGCCACGCTCGGCAGACTTGTTCGCATGATCGTGTTACGTGAGCTGGGTCCATTAGAGGAGCTCAACTGACACTCCTAATGCTGGAGGACGCTACGTCGAGGATCTGTTTTTGTTATTCCCATCACCTGGCAACCGCAGGGGACACGAACCAGATAGAGAGAGCGGTGGGTGGCACGGGAAGGATTTTGAGGGTTCTGGCAACAGCGGGATGCAATGTGACCCTCTGGCGATAAGCAGGAGCGGGAGCTGGAAGTGTCAATCGCAGTGACAATGAGATTGGGAAATTCTCCAAAGAGCAGCTTCTAGAGTCGAACATCGCACACGTTGGCGAGCCCGACGGTGGCCACAGAGCTCCCGTGTGCCGTGAGAATGATGGGGTTTTTTTAAAAGTCTCTTAGCAATCGATACACAATTAAGACATTATCGCATGTCGTATTTGCATCTCGTTTGATTCACTGGGCTGAGCACAGTGGTCACATGCCTCTAACCCAGTGCTTTGGAGGATATAATCAGTGGATCATACAGCTTTATTAAGCTCCCATACCTGCTCGGCTGCTAGGTGGCCAGGAGATGGCAGTACAGCAAATGGGGTCGTGAACCCATCTGTGCAAACCTTTTGAGTATTATCCCCTCGTATGCATGGCTTTTCCCTGAGCACTGTGGTTTCCTTCCAGAACACTCCTTCGGGGCAGCAGGGTAGTGCAGAGGTCACGCTTGCGCCTCACAGTGCCTTTCTGTGTGGAGTCTGTTCTCTCCCTATTCTGCGTGGGCTCCCGGGTTCTGCAATTTCCTTTTAATAGCTTAACATCAAACAAAGTAACTGGTATTCGCCAAACATCCCAGTGCTGAAACATTTCCCTGCAAATTACTCAACTGGGATCACACAGCAGCAAAATCACCCGCGACTGCGCAAACTTGGCAGGACCCTCTGTAACAAGAGTCCAGGATAAGCAAGCGTCACAACAATACAAAATATTGATAACTGGTGAAAAAAATGCAAGCATGAACATTTTAAACCAAGGCTACTCATCCGAAGCACTGTGAATTTTCTCCAGCATTTGCCGTTACACTTGGACGTCTTGCTGCGGCCTAAAGCGAGCGGTGAATTCTTCGGTGGGGAACCTCTCGGTTCATTCACGTAAATCGTTAGAAAATGTAAACGTCTCCCACGTTAAACGTTTACGCCGCGGTTGCCATCTGGCTCACCTCTTGAAAATAGATCTCAACTCCTGCTTATACAACACCCTGTCATGTAGGAACCCGATGTAGAGGATGACTGTGACACTTGCTCGTGAACATCCCTCCACAGGATCGCATGCCCAAAAGCCACACCCTCCTTGACCTGCCCACTACGTTACATCTGCCGACACGCATTCTACTTCTACATTTGCGAAGGAGTAAGAAACTCGGACTTTAGTCTGTCCGCAGCAGAGCGCGTGACGCTTCAGGGAGTTGCCCCGTTCAGGCGCCGCCCCGAACTCCGTCTCCTTGCATCCTCTTCCCTGTCCTTTCGTGAACTTTCCCCGACTCTCTACCGACTCTACACCGATCCCCTTCATCTCTCCCAACGGTCTCACAACCGACCCCTCATTTGCATTTGGTCCCCCCCCCGTGCTCATTCGAATTCACCCAGATGACCAATCGGATTTGAGTGGTTCTCCACCTTCCAATCGGATTGAGTTCCCAACATCGGCTCCTCCCCCTGTGACAGCTCCTCACCAATGAGAGTCGGGCGCACGACTTTGAACTCACGAGCCATTAGACTCGGCGAGTATTTATTTATTAATAGGGTCCTTTAGACATTTCTAGACTGAAATGGCTTCGCTGTTTTTATGGCAACTTGGGCAGTGATAAACGAGCCCGACCCTGCGCCAACCAAACTCAGGGTTTGATTCTCTTCGCTCTCGGTCGCTTACCTGGCATGCTGTTGTTGCTGAAGTGAGCCGCCCGCCGTCAAACAGGCAGCGGAAGAAAAAAAACCTCGTGACAAGATCAGACCTCCCGTTTGCGCTTGCATAGTCGTTCACATACGTCTCTAACGACCCTCAGCTTGAACGACGACATCGTGACCGTCACCTGTGTGCGACTGTAGTCCGTGCTGTGAGAGGCAACAGCCCGCTGTGCTCTAGTTTACCTAAATTACGTCCCGATTTTTCAATTCACTTTTTTTCATGCCCGACTTCGTTTTAAATGTAGAAACGTTCACCATTTCATTCAAATTTCACGCGGATCCCCGCCGTGATTCCCTCGGTCCGGTCTAGGACACCCGACTCAGCCTTCTTGACCACGATGCTCTTTGACTTAAGTCATCTTGTCATCCAGCGGGCAGCCTGGCGTTGTAAGAACGTCGCAGAATGCCAAACGTAAGGAATGATCGACGACTCCCCTTAGTTGCCGCCCCACGGGTGCCACCGTGCAGTCTGCCCTTCCCACGTGGCACACATACATGAGGGCCTGATGTGCGTTGACGTTTTTCCATCGCATGTTCAAATATAAAATGCACCGCGCAGGTGCTCCTGTAATTAAACGTCTCGTGCCAATGTGAGGTCCTCCCACGGAGCAAGCGGCAGCGACGAAAGGGAACGCGGAGCCCCGAAGCATCGGTTCCCAGGCCTGCTTCTCTCCGTTGACCCGGCGTCAGTCCCAGCGTGGCTCGCACAGACTTCCCACAACAAATAAACTTTGGTTGCGAGAGCCCCGTTCTCAAGTTCGGATGGGAAGGCTGCGGCAGATGCCTGGCTCTCATGATTTTTTAGCGTCCCCCCCCCTCCCTCCACCGCTGCCTCCTCCTCAAAGCCGATGCGCAGCTGCATTTGTGAAGCCTCCCACGGGCGCTCGCCTCTTGGTGCCCTGTGGGTTCCCTTCGACGACGCGCGGAAGTGCCCGATCTGGTGCGACCTTCTTATTGGTCACAGCGATGACTGGCCCGCATTTTTTATTTTTATTTTCGTAGTGCGTGAAACCATTCCGCCTGAAAATGACCGGGAGGCGCTTTGGCTTCGGACGTGACGAATCACCCACGCGCGACACGGTACCGTGTCGCGACGGGCCGCGGAGCAAGTGTTGGCCTCGCACCGTGATCGCTCGGTGCACGGCTTGCGTTGTTGCGCAGTGTGCTAAGATGCAAGAGCAGGAACGGTCATTCACTGAAGTAGAGACGTTATCATAAAATGTATTTATACTGGGGGAGGAATCCGATGAGCTATTAAGCTCTATTTCACATGTCCAGTAGGGGCACGGGGTAAGAACTGTACAACAACAAACAACACAAAAACACGATAGGAGTGCAAAGTAAGAGAGAGGTAAACAATTCACGCAAACACAAACAAATACAACCCTAAACCATCCCCATCCTACCAGGCAAAGCCCACTGAGGTATAAACTTATTTTTCAAAAGCGACCTGGCCACTAATGATAGCTCTACAAAGTGGCTTGTCATTTGAACATCTCAATGATGTGCGCAATGAACAACCACGAGCTGCCGAGGCTAAAATGAGTCATATTATGGACTTGCCGGATTTAGTGGAAATGTCCAAGGCTGAAAAGTTTTAGGAAACCTTTTGGATAACTCCCATTGCAAGAAAAATGCAGAATATCATTCAGAATTTAGCCATTTGTGCCATTTGTGCCATTCCTATAGCGCGAGGCTACCATCACGAAGCAAGGCGCTGTTGTCTATCACGGACACTGCTGTAGTTTTCACAATAGGGAGCAATGTTGCTACATGGCATCCCAATTTCACGGGATCTGTAATGTTCACTGTCAAGCAGATGGCGTGCATTTTATGGTGAATACACCGCAATAATAACCAGGGCGGCCCGACAGGTTTGAACTGAAGCGGCAAACGGGCTACCTCGGGGCACGTCACCGCCCCAGTGTAGAATTAGTGCCGCAGGGATTCCGTGCCTCTCTCTGTCTGTCCTGCGGGTGCTGGAGTGTGTCTCGGGCACACGCCAGTGAACGGGTGTCTCATTAGCTGAAAAAGAAAAAAAAATCCTCCTTGTAAAAGCAGCTGTCACCCTTCCAGAGTGTGTGCACGTGTGCGTGTGTGAATTCTTCTCAGTAAGGTGGAACCCATTGAGTGTGCCACAGGGTGAACTTTAAGGACGCAGAAATTGTAAGAGGTGAAATGTGACAACGACTCGTCACGCCGCAGGCCATGAAACAATATGATGGGACTGACTTGGAACTTGGGGCGACGACTTCTGACCACCGGCTCTGTGTACAATGCGGCATGCCGGCTATGAGACACGTGGTAATCGCTGTCACCCGTGGTGAGCAGATTGAGTGTAGCACTCTGAAGAATGCAGCTGTACCGTTGGATTTAAGAATTGCGATCTGTGACGTTAACGAGATGGAGTTGTGTTTGACGGAGCTCCCTTTTTACGCTGGGGCGTCTCGGAGCGCTTTGCACGCGGAGGCAACTTCCATCAAATCTCACCTCAACCACTTGAAAGGGCACCCACAGTGGCAGCTGTCCCCGTGCAGCGCGAGGTGACTCGGCACGTGGCCTCCAAGCGGGCGTCAGTCTGCCAGTAGGGGGCGATGATTGCTCCGTGTGATCCCAATCTGTCTGCATGCTGCACGACCGACCAAGTGTAGGTTTACGTGAATGTTTACATATGTACCTTTGGAGTGATTTATTGTCCGGGATATTTGTATGTATATATGTAGGGGATGCATCAATCAATATAATTAACAAAACACCAAAAGGGCACCGAAGGATCGTGCACCACCAACGGCAAGCCAAGAGGGACCTCCTTGTATGGTCAAAAGCTTTTTACAGCTGTCGTCATAACCATATATTTATATAGCAGTCACGTAAACCTCACAGCTACACCCGGGCTAAGAATCTCCATCGCCGTACACTACAAGTCAGCTTATGTGTGTGTATGTATATATTCGTCTTTGGGGAGCGGTAGCGTCGTGGTTAGCGCACTGCGCTACGAACCTTGGCTACCCGGGTTCGATTCCCACTCACGGTCAACACCGGTGACGAATATCTTAACCGGTCCTGGGTCTCCTCTAAGTCGACTCAGCCTCTTCAAATGAGTACCTGGTGTGGTGTGTAAATATCGCCACTAGGGAGACAAAGGCGGTCGGGTGTGGTGCTTGCCACACACCCCCTCGTGTACCGGCCTTCATAGGTGTTTGCTAACAGCACTTGCCCCAACAGTCTGTAAAGGCTATTCGGGAGCTCTTTGTCTTTGCATGTGGGAGTATGTATGTTGAATGTCTTTCACACCGTACGTAGCCAACCGTGCTAATCGGAGGTGGGAAGCGGTGATGCTGCATTGGACTGCACGCTGCACTAAGATGCCCAGCCACAGACACCATGGAATCCCATTAGGTCTGAACCGGTCCTGGGTCTCTTGTAGGTTGGCGCTGCCTTTAATGGGGCCTGGGCGGCAGGGTGGCGCGGTGGTAACACTCACGCCTCACACCAAGCAGGGCCTGGGTTCGATTTCACATTTGCATGTGGTTTCCTCCAGGGTTTCCAGTTTCATCCCATAGCCCCAAAATAATAATAATCGCACAATGTAACTGGTATTGGCCAAACATCCCAACGTAAAAAGAAATACCTGCAAATCACTTGGCCCCCTACTGCCAAAAACCTGGCAGTACCCTGCTAAAAATAGTTCTGTGCGACTTTCCTTGGATAGCTATAGGAATAATCATGGAAACACCAGCACTCGGGAGACAAAGGTGGCTGTCCGCTAACTTCACAGGCAGAATGCTGGCCATAGCATGCCCCCTTATGTGTGGCGTGGCCTGAGTAGGAGCTCGCTCGGGGAAACTTGGCCCCTTTAGTCTGCTGGGCTACACCGGGGATCTTTGTCTTCGTTGCCGCGTGTCCGTAGAGCTTTGCACGCTGTTACCGGACAAGGGCCCTTGCAAGAGCCGGTTGCAGCGCTGGTTCTACAACCCCAAGAAGCACGGCTGCGAACAGTTTGAATACGGCGGGTGCCTCGGGAATCAGAACAACTTCGTCGCCATCCTGGAGTGCCTCAAGCGCTGCACATCGGTGCCAGGAGGTGAGCACAGTAGCAGGGTCTCTTTAAGACGAATGTTTACGCGCCGGCATCAATCACCTTTACACTTTGTATCCTCCTTCATGGCACTGTTTGGTTCGGGAATAATTAACTCAAACGGGGTAGTTAATGTCGTGCTGCGGGGATCTGCCCCACTTCCTGGCGAACTTTGGCACGTCGGCAGTTCACCGCATTCCCCAGGGCGCACTTCTTCTCCGCAAGGGGCCCTTGCGCACGTGGCGAGACGTTTAGTGCCAGGAGGACGTCAGCGCGCAGCGGGGAGTCGCGCGGCGACCGGAAGACTTAGCACCGCCGCCTCTGCCTGAGCCGTGACAGCTCTTCGCTGCCCTTAAAGCACGGGAAAGATGCTGCTGCTGCTGCTGCGGCACGGGTGGCAGCAATCGTGAGGCGGTTTCATCGACGCGGCAAGAGGCCCCGGTCGTGATCACAGGGGTCAGCGGTCCTCTAGCCGTGCCCTTTGCGCCTCACGTGACATCGCCGAGATTTCGGGTGTCGTTTTAGGTTTTTAATTTTGCACCGCTGTTCAAAAGCGCTTGCGATTGCTTGGGATGTGGACACATGGTGTGTCAGGCCAATGGCGAGGAGAGTTTCTCTGTGGTGAAAAAACCCAATTGTGACTCAAAAAACACATTGTGACATTTCTGGAAGGAAGGTGTACGATGGTTTTATAAAGAAAGTGACTGCTTTCTTCAAAATGTTACTTGTCCATCATCTGCTAAGTTCATTCTTTGGGCTGGTATGCAGCCTGTTATAGCCGTCTTTAGTTGAGCAGTTTACAACCTGTGCTGTGTGGATAAAATGGTTGAATAAAATGGGATAAAAATGGACTTTAAATTATGACCACAAACCACCTTTGGGGCACCAAACATATACAATTGTGAGAATCATACTGTATATAATTACTAAACAAAACTGCGGCACTGTCCATAAATGTATCATGAATTATTAAAGCAGTTTCATTAGGCAGCATGTGCTACAGCTGCACCATTAGCACTGTCAAAGACAAAGATCCCCCCGTGTAGCCTGAATAGACTGTTGGGGCAAGTGTTGTTAGCGAGCACCTACTAAGGCCGGCACGGCACACGAGGGGGTGGGTAGCCAACACCACGCCCGGCAGCCTTTGTCTCCCCAGTGGCGATGTTTTTACACACCACACCAGGTACTCACTTGAGGCTGAGTCGACCTAGGGGAGGGCCCAGAACCGGTTCAAATAATCGTCACCGGTGCTGGCCGTGATCGGGAATCGAACTCTGATCGCCGGGTTTGTCTGTGGAGCGCGCTAACCGCTACACTGCCGCTCCCCATCATTGACACTGTATGCACACACACACACACACGTAGTCGTGTGAAGGTTTTATGGGAAACCTCATCTCTCAATATCTCAGCATGTTCGCCGTGGCAGCGGTTGGTACGCGTCATACTTATTGAGAGTCCCAGGTGGGCCCCAGCTTCTAGGCTAGGTGACCGTCTCAAATGCTCTGGCTAGGCGCTGTCGCAGATAGACTCAAGCTTTTAACATAGGAACCTGTTGCCAATATTCCAACGACCCTGTTGAAACCGCCGTGTAAATTATAATGGCTTCATGATGGACGCTGCCTTCATGGGTATCCTACCAGTCGTGGTCTGAGGCTAATTTAAAGAGCATAGATTTTGAATTGAAGCTTCCGTGACTGCAGGAATCCATACTCTTTGGTTATTTCGGTAAAGTCACGAAGGTAGAAAAATAAAATAAAATAAAAATATATCACGACGTTTCGATCGCAACACAAGCGGTCGTCCTCAGGTCGTCCTCCGTGACTTTACCGAAAGAACCAAAGAGTATGAACATAGATTTATCGCTATGTATTGTACATGTTTTGTGTACGTGATGTTTTCTAGGATGGTGAATTGGTATTAACGTATTTAATGTAAGCGATTATAGCCGCGCAGCCGGTACCGCATGCAGTTAACATTTTGAAGCCAGTGGTGCATTTCTGACAAGTTTACGCGATTTCTGTGCACATCAATGTTCTGGCCAGAGAGTGGTCGCAGGCTCCATTCTCTCCTCCAAGTTGCTCGGACTTCCACTGCCCTCTTCATTCGCCCATACATCCTTCCTTGATTAACGTCGTCCGGCATCGTCGTCATTTCCCTTCCTCTTCGTCTTTTATCCAAATGATCTTCCTTCGATCTCCGCCTTCAACTCATTCCCTCTCACGACACCTGCCCACTCACCTCCTTCAACTCATTTTCTCTCGCTACCACCACCTGCCCACTCACCTCCTTCAACTCATTCCCTCTCGCTAACGCCACCTGCCCACTCACCTCCTTCAACTCATTCCCTCTCGCTAACACCACCTGCCCTCTCACCTCCTTCAACTCATTCCCTCTCGCTACCACCACCTGCCCACTCACCTCCTTCAACTCATTCCCTCTCACTACCACCACCTGCCCACTCACCTCCTTCAACTCATTCCCTCTTTCTACCACCACCTGCCCACTCACCTCCTTCAACTCATTCCCTCGCACTACCACCACCTGCCCACTCACCTCCTTCAACTCATTCCCTCTCACTACCACCTGCCCACTCACCTCCTTCAACTCATTCCCTCTCGCTATCACCTGCCCACTCACCTCATTCAACTCATTCCCTCTTTCTACCACCACCTGCCCTCTCACCTCCTTCAACTCATTCCCTCTTACTTGCCACCTGTCCAATCTAGATTATCTTACAAATCGATCAAATTATTTCACGTTTCTTATCCCCCCCGCCCGAGTCCTGTACACAAATATTAACATACAGAGTCACTCAATGTCATGTTCTGGTACAGCAACGCGGATGCGCGCTTGCTGTCGTGACAGGTAAACCCCTCCTATGGCGTTGAGAATTGGAAGGAGCTTGTCACCTGGCGATACGTTCAGGGAATACAGGTGGTGGGGGGGGGGGGGGGGGGTGATGGTTCCGTATCAGTTGCACTTGCTCTTCCACTGAGGGTTTTGCGATTGAGTCGCCAGGATCATGAGGCCGCATGTGATGATTTAGCGGCCAGAATACCGGGAGCAACGCACGCTACTGAACGTACCCCGTGGTCTTTAAGATGTGCCCACTTTGACACCGGTGGCTCACCGACCACCCCTTTCTTCATACATGATTGGGATCTGGATCGGCTGTGCTATGCACCGTGGGTATCTGCAAGGCCTCGCTCACTATTTCCACTCTGGGCTAATGTTGCATGCAGGTGGATTCTGTTGGTGTTTGGGTTTCGAAAGCGTGGTGGTGGTGGTGATGATTGTGATACTCCACTGATGGGCAATCACGAGACCAGTTCTTCAACTGTTTAGCACGTCGGCCCTCGCGACCAATATTGCTCACAACAAAGGTGTTTTTGGGTTAGATTGCATATATATAAATGTGTCGTTAACCCACCACCACCCGACACAGCCAATTAGTAAGGTTTGTCACGTAAACAAACGTGCCAATTAGTTGCTACTTCACCACACCGATGTGTTGGAGAGTAAACCCACAACAGTTACGATTCGAGTACGACGTTTCCCTGGTCATTACAACCAGCTCCATCAGGCGAGTTGCCAGAACTTTGAAGAAGTCTTCCTGTTTCTGGTCTTAAATAGAGTGGAGAAAGCGCTGAGGATGGAGCCACTGCCATCGCTGTAGAATGATCACGAGAATGACGGTGCGTGGAGAACCCCTAGAGGGGGAACTGCGTCGCCTCCTCACACCGGAGCCAACCAGCACCACTGCACGCGTACCAAGCGGAGTAAACTCGTCCGCACGAATTCACAGTTTGGTGGTGCGAGTTCACGCTTTCGCAACAGGAGCAAATGATCCGAACCCAGCAGAGTGTACGTAAAAAGGATTACCGACAACTTATTAAGTAGTAAACTGTTATTCTTAGTTTTTTCGGTAAAGTTTTATATATATTTTGTTATTTTGTTGTTTCTCTTCAACGTGACTTTACCGAAAAAACTAAGAATATGAATTACTGCAGTCACGAAAGCTTTAAATCAAAATTTAGTAAACTGTTGTTATTTTGCTTAGTTGCCCAGGGAAGCCTCACTGGGTCTCAAGACTCAGTGAGGAGTCTTGGGGCGCCACGGTGGTGAGATGTTAACTACCTCGCCTGGTATACAAGGAGGTCGTGGCTTCGATCCCGACCCTGATGCTTGTATATTTGTATTTTGCATGTTCTCCCCGTAGTCGCGTGGATTTTTCTCCGTGCCCTCTGGTTTTTCTCTCCACATTTAGAATCAACATGGGAGTATTTAGCCACGAAAAATCTCCACGTGATAATCCACTTCATTGAGCTGTCATTTGTGGCCAGGTCACTTGTGAAAGAGAGCTACATAGCTCAGTGGGTCTTACCTGTTAAATTATTATTTTTTAGTTTAGTTTAAGACTTGTTTTCAAGAGGGTCCTGCCGAGTTTTTGCAGTAAGGGGGTGATGTTGCTGCTGTAATCGCAGTTGAATAATTTGCAGGTTGTTTTCAGCATCGAGATATTTTCACCAATACCAGTGAGCTGGAATGTTGTTTTATTTCTTAGCTATGTGAGGAAAACTGGAAAACCCAGAGAAAACCCATGGAGAACAAGGGGAGAACACACAAACTTCGCACAGAACGGTGCTCGTGCTGGGACTCAAACCCAGGCTCTTCTTGCTGTGAGGCAGGCTGGGAAAAAAAAACATTAATTTAATAACACAACGAAAGGTGTGCATTGCACAGCAGCTCTCAGCCTGACAGTATCTCCATATTTGGGCCATATGGCAACAGGGAATACTGACGGACTTGTACCATGCTGATAAGTCCTAAAATGAGGACGAAATCGGCCTACAGTCGTCCCTGTTTCACCGCTGCCCGTTGGGATGGCAGACATTTTCTCAGCTCTTCGAGTCGGCAGTGTAGACAACGAAATGGCCACGCGTACAGTTCCCTTGCGCTGGCCGTCTGCGTAAGGCTTGACAGCTTGTGTTAAGTGCATTGCTGCA